AGTTTTGTGCAAAAACGCATGATCGCTCCGGCTCGCCTGGTGCGTTCCAGCCTACGTTTCTTCACATATGAACACGTGAAAATTGACGTAACGCCGCAACCCGAACAACTGGAGTACCGAAATCTCCGTGTGGCCCAGGATCGTGTTTTAGCAACTGCACGCGAAAACAGCATTCACGTTTCCTTTCACGTACGGACACGTGAAACTTGGCGTAACTCCGTAATCAAAGCACCTAGAATGTTGGATTTTTTGAGCATGGACTGGGAGCCACTGTAATAACTTCTGACAATTCATGGTGGCCAGCCTCAATTCTTTTAGCTAGAAGCATTTGCCGGAAAAAAACAGTGTCGTTAGTAAAAAAAACCCGCGAAGGAACTGTGCAAAAAATTCATCTTCGCACCGGCAGTCGATGTACTGGCTAATGACTTATTTCTGATAAAAAATATTCAATAATCTATTGAAAGCGCACAAATTTGTTGGATATTATTATGCGTTTTTGCCGTGCAGCGCTAGAGCGTTGTAACAGGCGCAAAACACATATTGCAACGACCTTGTCCATGTGTGTTTGTGTGCGTGTGTGTGTTCGTCTATCCGGGTGTTTCAATTCGCCAATTACGCAAGCTTCGAAGCAGAAGTTTCGGCAGTGTGTTTTCCAGCGAAGTGCCACCCCAGGACCGTGGTACCAACCCTCATGCATGTCTGGGCCCCGTGCACGACCAAGTGAAACTTTTGACGGAAAAAATGATAACTTGGGAATGAGAAAAGCTAGGAAGTTGCAACTTTGGGGTAATGTTCCCTACTCAAGCACGACCAAAAGTTCTCAAACTCAGCTCCTTAGAACCGTTTGGGACTCACGTATGGGTACGTGAAAATTTTGGCGAGAGAATTGCTAACTCGGGAACGGGAAAAGCTGGAAAGCTGAAACTTTAAGGGAATGTTCCCAACCCATGTGAGACTAAAACATTTCAAATTCAGCTCTTTTAGTGGGATCTTTTTCGCACACCAATAACTCTCCATTTATCGGGTCACTAAAGCTGACATCTACAAGTGGCATGCCACATAGCTGCGCAATTACCTGAACTTTGAGGGCTAGTATGTCGCAAATTCTAGCTACTGTGATTTCTTTCGATCTTGTTACAGCGCAAAATAATGCAAAAATGGCCTGCCTGGTGCGTTCCAGCCTAGGTTTAAATGAGCGTTGGTGTGAATTCTAGAAAGTTTGCAAAGTGCGGCCTGGTTCATAGCAGTGCTCTGCGCTGTAATGCTGGCGTTATTCACGGCTGCGGTATTGTGCTGCTGCGAAAGGCAACGCAGTGGGAAGTATGCAGTGAAGCAGAAGGAACTAGAACGAGGACATCATATCGACGTCGAAGAACACCAGTAAGTAATTCAAGTTAACATAAAACAATACATTCAGCGATGTGATGCACGAAAAACTTTGTGTCCGAAAGATAACCCAGATGACAACGCGCAGCAGTGTTGCGGTGCGATCATGCGTTTTTCCTGCCTGATATTTGCACATCCTAGTGCGAGACGTTAGCATGAGTGAAAGTTGCTGTTTTTCATGACGCACAGAATCAGATAGTTTCCTCAGAAAATTCTTATCTGCCTGAATTGTGAGAGTAGGATGACGGCAACGCTGAAACTTGGAAATTTGATGTGTTTGTATGCGCGACAGACGCGTAAGCAAAAACTCATTTTACGTTGCTGGTCCCCATTTGAACAGCAAACATCTTCAGAAAGCAGCGTCACCATTTCATTTTGGTTGCCGTTTTAACTTGGTGCCAAAAACGTTAGAAATTAGCATTCACTTGGGCGCAACCGAGATCTAGGCGTGCTTAAAGCAAAATTTGAAATATTTAAGTCACACATAGACGCAGAATATCCTTGTAAAACTTCAGTTCCCTAGTATGACTGCTTGGGGGAATGTTTTTCGTTACAAATATCATCGATTTGTACGAACACGCGACATAGGCATGCGCTAAAGATCATTTTTCACATGAAATACAAACTTTCTCGCAAAATGAAGGCAACTACTAAAACTCGGCTTGGCTCAGTCCAGCTTGGCTGTGCAATATGCGTTCGTTTTTGGACCGGTAAAACAATCACGAGCGTATGCGATTTTCGGTTTTTTATGCGTTTTTGCATTTATGTAAATTGCAAAAACGCATATTGGGAAGAGGCTGTCTGT